GCCCGTGGGGTGTTATTATCATTGCATGTACGTGACCCGTGTCGGCATTCGGGTTCGTGGCTCCTATCTGGTTTTATTGACGCTTTTTTGATTCACATCCCAACGAATATCTCTGTCGGGCGTATTACAAGTTCTTGTTAAGTGCAACTGGGGCACAGAAACGTGCGCACCCTTCTCATTCAACAGCTCGCCTCGCGGGTTTGATGTGGGACGAGGGGCTTGGAATATGCACTCCCTCATCCCTAAACCCAACACCCGAATCCCTACACCCCAAACCCTCAACCGTAATCCCGAATTAATTCCTAAACTCAAACCTTAATTCCTAATCCCTAAACCATATTCCCTAAAGCCTAGTCAACAGCACCAGCCTTGGGAACCCAACTTCCAGCACAGCGCAACGTCCGCTGCACCCAGTGTGAGCTCTGCGTTCTCATCAGCCCTGAGCACCAGGTACGCGCAGATAGGCTTCAAATACTTTGAACCATTGGGAGTTTCCCGTGGCTTAATGCACTTCAATGAATTCACAGCATTCTGGACATGAAAGAGCTACTGAGCAGATGCAACACGCCGCGACCAAGAGGTCACATGACAGCCGCAGCCATGAGACTACCAAGCCGAAACAAACAACGTGAACATGTCCTTGAAGCGAAGCTGGCAGTGCTTGCAGACAGAAGTCGAAACTGTGAGGCCGCTGAGTAGGTGGACGAGCTTGCCTGTCCTGGCAGCATCTGGCGGCTATAGTTTTTGGTGGTCTGTCGCCTGACACAACTTCCCTGTGAGATGAAACCTTCTGCCTCTCTCGCTTATCCAGCTGTCCTGAATCTTGAGAAGGCTTTGCGCCAACCTGCCCGCAGTCTCAGCCCCTTGCATATCCAGGAAGAAGAGGAGAGACGGACGATCGCGCTTCGAAGTGGTGAGTGTCAGCCCGGCCTCTGCAAGAGCTAATTGCAAAGGTAGCGTAGAGTCGTCTGATGTTGTCTGGCATCTCAGAACGAAGTCTCTCTAGATCCCTCGCAAGTGCTTCCCATCCCAGAACTTGTTGCGGCCTCGTTCATGTTTGCAACCTCAGGGGCTGGGCTTGGATGTCACAAGCCTGACCTACATGAACAGGCCATCTTTTGCTGAAGGATGGGGTTCATGTGAGTGGTCGGTCTTCCGATGTTAGGACTGCGAATTCTGTTACGGGTCAGCAGCGGCCACGATGGAGTCCTTCGTGCCCTTAACGTGGCAGACGGCAAGGCTGTTTTACCGATATGTTCTGTTGCACATGATAGCAAAGCACAATGTTCAACAGACACGGCCATGAAGATCCAGTCTTCCATGCATTTGACATCAGCATGCGTGATGGACCACAGATCCTGTGCTGCAACTTAATTCAGAGTGTAAGATGATGTTAGCAGGACATGTTTGGCGGAGAGCTTTCTGCACAATGTTCCGCCACGCCCTGCGATCTTAAGTTTGAAATTCAGTGGAGACTTCCGACACTTTGCGAAGGACACACTTTACGGTGCTTCTCGTCTGAGCAAGCTTTGACCTTGTAAAGTCAAGCTCTCCAGACTCTGGGAGCCCTTGTAAGGAGGGCCGCTACAACGAGAATGGTCTAGTAGCCCTGGTTCGGTCCACGCCTTGACAAATGAATACACATGATGTTGTTGTGATTGTTGTTGTTGTTGTTGTTGTTGCTGCTGATGTTTTTGTTGTCCTCCTCCTCCTCCTCGTCACTGAGCAGTGGCACTACTATGATAGGCCAGCCAGAAGCTGGCAGGCTTCAGAAACGCGCCCAGTGTATCCTCCTTCCTGCTGCAACTCGGCAGCTGAGGCGAATGCGCGCCAGCGCTTGCAAATCTGGACAGCATTAGCCTTTTGCAATTGAAGGGTCTGGCGAAGCTAGTAACACCCTTTTGCGAAGGCCAAGCGACGGCAACGCTCCAGAAGTCTGCAGGCCACGGAAACAGCCTGCAACTTGCAAGGAGACGTCCATGTGAGCAATCATGAGTCAAGTCTTGAGGTTCAGATTTTGTGATTCAAAGAACGCACAGGCCTGGTGCTCGTCGGCGTACCCTTTGCCCGCCAGTACCGCTTTCGCGGCTCTCGCGACACAACGTACATGAAGCGTTGGCCTTGCGCAGCACGGACTGAGCACAACGGTCAGGCCAAATGTCAGGACCCAAAGAAGCTGAGCTCTGCACGCCATGCCGAGGTGTCGTGCAGCTGCTCTCCAGGTGTGGGCGTCAAACCACTCAGCTCCGTTATGGCCTGGGCTGCCAAGCAGCGAAGCAGGTTCCCAGTTTTGTGTCACCTACTTCACGGGAAGTACCGCCAGCCAAGTGGCACAGTGGCCCTGTGTCCATGCAGCTGGCACCAGCGCTTCAAGGGCAGCTGGGTGGCTGCAAAGGACTAGAGCATCCAGGGCCGCGGAGTTTGTTGCCAAGCCTCCATCCGAGCAAAAGGGTAAGGAAGAGCCCGACGTCATTCACAAGATTGTCGGCCTCGGTATGTCTCCAGGTATCGCTGCGCCGCCATTTCCCAGGTCTCCTGAACTCCACTCTGCTCACACCCCGCTGACTGCTTGTTGAAGCTGGGCCGGCCTCCTCCAACGACTTGGCCCAAACGGGGCCAAAGCCCAGCATTCCAAGTTCAAGCGGCGGGGCCTCAATGCCGCACCAGCCACAAGCACATCACAGCACCAACAGGGCACGCAGGGCCTCAAAGAGGCCGCCCCAATCAGCCAAACCTGGCTCCACGCAAAGCTCTGCCTCAGCCGTGCTTGCACTCTGTGCTAAGATGTACCCGACAGTCATTGTCGATGTCTGCCCTCGTGCCTGCAATGCATCCGCGATGGGCCGCGCCGTCTGGAGGCAGCGCCGAGCTGGCGAGGACACCACAGCTGTGCGGAGAGGCCTCATGATTAGCTTCCAAACAGCTCAGCGACCTCTGTTCGAAGCCTCAGTTCAATCCTGAGACCCAGGCCCAATCATGGACTTCAGAAGGGCGGCTGTGCACTTCGCCTGCTGCATTTCCATTGGTGAAGCACCAGAGACAAACTCAGTGGAAGTCTTTGCCTGGAGGCGTCCTGCACCGGTGAGCGGAGCATCTCCGAGCCAACCTGGCAAGACCGCTGCAGATGTTTGGATTAAAAACATCTGTTTTTAATCAAAAATATATGTTTTTACTTAAAAATATATATTAAACACATCGCAACACACCTTTAGCCCCTACGCAGCGGGGCGTCGGGTTCTGCATGGCTGACCATCCTCAGGAGGAGGAGGCAGGCCAGGGCCGTCTGCTCGCTCGCCATGACCTCAGATTTTGAAGGCTGCTGCGGCTACGGGTACAGCACACCATGTTATGATGTTGCAGCCTCGCCCAAGCCCCCTAAGCTGCCGGCGCACGAGGAAGATGCGGCAAGACATCGGCCGATGAGCTGGGATAAAGGCCACAGCCAGGCATTGCTTTTGTAGTACATCGGACAAGACGGGCACCTGCCAATCCTGCATGACCTGGACGCTGCGGGTCTGCAGCTTCACCTCTCTCCCCTCACAGGCATCAGTCAGGCAATCCCACGCTCCTTCGGCCAGCGCTCCTTGGGGAGAAGCCGTGTCAGAAGCGTGCCGCAACGCCGAGACATCCGAGACTTGGGTGTTCGCTCAGGTGGCGCCCTGCGGATCTCTCTAAAGCCATTCAGGATCTGTATCAGGTATGGAAGCAACTGCTGGCATACACCAGCAGCTGGTAGCCGTCCATGAAACCCTCCAACGCAAGCGGGCATCATACACGCTCTCCGTTGGAAGGTTGGGCAAACAAAGCTGTAAGACTTGCTTTGACTTCTGCATGTCCAGGGAAATTCTCACACTCTTGGGCGTGCATTCCAGCTTGGCATCAGTGGACAGTGATGTAGATGGCAGAATTCAGAATGCCAACCACTCTATTGGTTTTCATGTTTAGCCAAATGGGCACTCTGCCCTAGAGCTTTAATTAAGCGAATGGCAAGCAGGCATAGCTGCTTCAAGGGCAGGACCAGCAATTACACTTGAGCATGGCAGCTCAGCTTTTCCTACCACACAGCCTCTATACAACGCCTTCCATTGCATTCAGCTTCATGCATGCTTCAGGGTACAAGGATGTTGTCTTGCTGGGCTTGGTGGGCAGCTGGTGAGTTCACGGAATGGTACGACAGACCTCAGCTGCCAAATTAGCAAAATTCACCTGCGGCTTTGCAGCACTGAAATCGCAGCTGATGGGCAAGTGAAGCCCGCTAGAGCCGTACTTGCACCAATGCCACGCTGCCAGATTTCGCAGCGACCAAGACCTTTCAGAAGCCAAATCTGACAAAAGCAAATGAGGTCTACGCTGCCCAGCTGCTGAACTCAATGCCGTGGCAAAGCGAAGCCGCAGAGCAAGCCGCCTTGCACTCCTTACGTATGTCAAAATCAAGTGGGCGCCTGATCTGTCCTAAAGCAGAGCAATACTTTGGATGTTTGGAAAACAGCAGGCAGGATCACACATCTTTTGGGTTGACTGCAAGGCTGTTGCAGCTGACAGTTGTCCGTGGACATGAATAACTCATATTCGATGGAAAGTCCTTCCTGCTCACATAATTCCAAACTTGTGGATAGCCCTCATCATGATTTTCGCGGCGGAATTATTCTGAACATCGAAGAGATCCTGGACCTACGCTAACAGTGTGATAGGGCACGTCCAAGGTCTCCGCTGCGATGACGTTGTAGAACTTCTCGTTGTTGTCAGCTGGGTGATCTCCCCGACAGGCTCGTCCCTCGCCACCATCAACCTTGCCCACGCTTATGTTGTGTGGCCATGTGGGTGGCAACTTACGGCAAGACAAACGTAGTACTCTCACCGCGTCCATCAACAGCTCCTTCCTCTACAGACTTCAGCGACAACAAGCAGCTCCGCCAGCCACAGTCGCCACTGTAGAATCACTCCTTTACCTCCTTCTCCTCATCCTGCCTCTCAACCACAACCACAACCACAACCCACCACCTCCACGGCCACTCGCGCAATCAGCCCTGGAGGCTGTAGTGCACCCCACCCGGATGTTTCCTTCACACTGCTCGCTTACCTTCTTGCCATCTGCAGAAACTGATCTGCAGTCTACGAGTGCCCACCTCTTCACATACCACATTTTGTTGCGAACAATTTATTTCCTCGCAGCAGGTGACTCTGACACACTCCAATGCTGTGCCGAGCAGCTGGTAGCAGGTTCTGTGTTGGCCAGCCATAGCGCATGCAGGTAAAGCTGCCGCTGCTCGGCATCGTCCAGGAGAAGATCCCATGAGGACGAGTCCAAATCTCGCAGCGCCCATAGCTGAATTCAATGCCTGACAAATGACCCGAAGGTGCAAGTCTTTATCAGGTAGCACCTCAATTTCAGAAAATTCTTTGCGGAATTCACGGCCCGCCTTTGCAACTCGGAAGCTGCTCAACGCACTTCGACTGACATGCCTTGCGCCATCACAAACTTGCCTTGAGGCCTGACAATCGTAACATGTACCTGCTCTTTCCAGGGAAGTGGCTTGAAGTTCTGTGATGCCCTCCTGCACCTCATAGTAGCTAGGGGAGTTGTCGTGGCTGGTCCTGCAGGGAAAGCAACGCCTCCCTGTTCCCGGATGTGCGTGGACCCGGAGCCCGGGAGCCTTCCACGGCACACAGACTTACCTGCGTCGCCGATGTGCTCCCAGCCAACGCTAGTGGTCGGTGCTGTGGATGTGGACGGCTCCTCTGATACCAGTACAGCATTCATCCCGGCTCCCTTGCTTCATCTGCATTTAACTCACCATTCCCCTGCCAACCCTTCGCATGACTTCCGCAGGTGCGGAGATTTCGTGGATGGATGGCTGGCCGAAGACTTTACGAAAAAAGGAAGCGGAGCAAAAGGGTAAAGTAAAGCAAAAGTCTCCAGGCCTGGCTCGAAGATACGCCTCACAGGCTCCCAGGCTTTTGATCGCTTATGTCAAGGCTAAGCTTTAAAATCGGCTTCCCTGCCCTGACCTCTCGAAGACATCTTCTCGCAGGTCTTGCAGAGCGTCTGGTCTTTCGGGAAGATGCCTAAGCTGAGAAAAAGCTTGGATACTTCCAAAAACTCATGGAACATCGACTTTCCCTGCCGTTGGTTCTGCTGAGACTCTAGTGCATGGTTCCGAGAGGTAGATGAGTTCGCCTCGTGTGGAGAAGACGATCTCAGAGACGTTGCATCTTGTGGTCTCACATGTCTCACGCCAAGTCACTCGCTGCATAGGCTGATCCCAGCCGATCACAGGTGGTCTCGCCACAAAGCGGGCGGGCACTTGACAGCTCATAGCCCTCGGGGCAGGTCAGCTCGTGCTTGCAGCCTTGGCGAGCCATCGCAGGGCTTGGGGCTTGGGGCCCGGGATGTTTTCCAAGCTCAGCTCCCCACAGTTTGAGGAGAGAGAAATCGGGCAGTCTGAGCTGCTTCGATAGCAGACTCTGCCCTCAGGTTGAAACAAGGACGGACTCTATGCCCCCATCAAAACAAAAACAACAAGGAGCATGGCTCGACAAGCAGTATCATGCTGACTGAGACACGGATGATGTTGGAGTGAGAATTTCAGGTGCTGGCTGAGCACCCACACACTCACAGCACTCGTATCTGTCAGGGTAGGAAGCTTAAAAGCACTCCAAAAGGGCAACCAACGGAGGCTCGCCTTATGTCAACATCTTCCGGCCAATCCTCACAGTGACCATTCCATTCAGATGGTCTGAAGTTGGCACCTGCTAATGCAAGAAAAGTGTCTGCAAAAAGGTTGTGAATCCGAAGATGCGACATTGTCCCGCCTACATCCGTGCAAACTTTCTCCGTCGCCTCGCAACCAATGCTTTGGCATTCCTGAGCATTGACATTCTTGCCGGGAGGTAGAGTGCAACGAAGCAAACAAAAGCACTGCGTAAGCAGGAGTAAAGGGAGTTCCAACATCTCAACGCTGTAAAGGAACGAGCGCGAAATCCGCCGGACACGACAGCCCATAGGAGCAGATTGCGTAGCCTCGCGCGCCTTACTCAAAAGGTCTGGCAATACCATAGAGCAAGCGGGGTGTGACCGAGAAAAGAGCAGTTCGTGGAGCTCCTCACCTGATGGTATCAGAAGTTTTCAGCAGAATTCTTGGACCAGTGTCTGTCAACCAAAATTTGACCTTCAAGTCACCGGAGCGGCGGAGTAGGTCTGACAGGAAGCCCGCGCCAGGACAGCTGCAATGACCCCATTCCACATGCGAGCCTGGGCCGTTAGCAGCATTGCCACAAGCATGCTCTACGGAGCAGACGCGTTCAACATACACAAGCCTCTAACCAGCATGGAATCTCAGCCTTCGAATTCAATTCCATGGGCAGTCAAGAAGCTACCATCGCAATGTCAGAAACGTGCTGACGCCGAGCTCGTGGCTGCAGAAACAAGCTTACACAAATCCATGGTGTTTCTTTGGCTTGGCTGATGCTGGGGAGGGTAGGTACAAAGCCACATCAATGCTTTTATGGCAGCAGCCTAAACGCTGCCATGCAACATTGCAAGCTGTTCTGGATTTGCTGAATTCAGGATCCAGGACTCTTTCATGCAGACTCATAAGCTGCCTGTGCGACAACCTGCAGTGCCCGTGCTGCGCAAGGTATTCAGTGAAATGGATGGATTCAACTGTGTCCAATGCGATCCATTTGGCCCCACTGATGTATCGTCTATGCCGTTTAAACACGCATTCGAATCAAGCATGCTCCTGCAATTGCGTGAGCTTAGATGGTTGACATGAAATGGTGAGCTTCCGTCAACGGCTCCCACTTCAAACAACAAGCACGATCAAGCGCGGCGTGGATAAGTAGCTGTCTCACCCGGCTCCTGCGCCGTTCCCGGCTTTTGCTGATTGACACGGGTAGCATCCACGGCCAAAAGCTTTTGCGCTGTTCTGCATGATAGGTTGCGCAAACTCCTCGGCTGCACATTCGAACACCTATTACTCTACCTCTAGCCCCTGGCGTTTTGCAGTAAAATCGGAAGCACACCTCCTTGCACAGCAGTTCGGCATGCTCGTCTCCAAGCCTCTTGAGTTCAGTACGCGCTTGATGGCTATGTGTTGCTGCATGTTGCTGCCATGAACCTCTTCGTTTCCTCCCCGATGTCCTTTGTCAAGTCCACTTGCCGAGGCGTCTCATTGGCTAGCGGTTGAACCTACGACAATCTTTCTACATCCACGTGATTCGTTGCTTGCCGAGCTGGCTCCTCCTTAAAGCTTGAGGGCCAGCGGCAGAAACGAAAGCCCTGCGCCGGGTCAACTTTTACAGGAGTTCGACTTGCACCAGACAAGATTGTGTTGGAGCACGTGCCAGTAAGACGTTAATAGAACGAGCAACAGTCCAACTGCAGAAAGTCAGGGAAAGTACCTTTGCCCATACTCTGAGAAACCAGGCAGAATATCTTGCGTATTCAAAGTGCACCTGCATGAAATATGAAAAGCTCGCGCGCGTGCTGTGATCGTGCTGGAAGAGAAACAAGGACCGCACACCGAATGCAATGTGCAGAGATTGCTTGAAGCTACAACAAATTCCAAACCCAAAGTCCTGGGGAGCGCTTCTCAACCTTTGAACAAGCCACATCAAATCACATTCAGTAAAGGCCTGCGCGCTATGTTCGGATATGAACAAAGCTTCCTCTGATGAGAGATTTTCCTGACTGAGAGCCCCCAAAAGTCTCCACTAGGCTGTTTCAGCCAAAGAACGCTCTTGAACAACACTGTGGGCGCGACGTTCTGCTGGCCGGCGCCCCTCAAAATGAAGACCGGGTCGCGCTCAGAAGACCCTTTAAAAGGGACGCTTGCACAGGACCGAAACACACCCAGGAATCCCTCGAAATGAGGACCCAAACGCACCAGAATAAAACAGAGGACCCCAACGTGCGCAAAAATCCTTCGAGAAAGGGCTGCGTGCGCGACGCCCCTACTTCCCAGCCCTCAGCGCAGTCTAGCCTTCCAAGCCAAGCCATTTCTGTCCACCTCCGTCCCCGCAGGCTCCCCGACGCATAGACACCTACGACTACCTAGCTCACTACGTTTGGGTATATGGATGCAGCTCCCACTCACAAGGAGCTTTCCTGACAAGAACCAACCTTTTCCGTCGATCATCGTTACCATCTCGCTCGTCAACACTGACTCCCGTGGTCGGTCAAGATGGCTCAGCAGGATGCACTGTTGCTCACAAGTGATCAAGCTTGTGTTAGAGGCATGTGAGACATGCAAAGCTAAACCGCACTTGCTAGTCCAGCAAGATTCTACCATCGTACCCGTGATGCAGCATGGCTATCTAGGCAATTGCAGTTTGGACGCATCTCAGGTCGTCAGGCTGAATGGTGTCCTGCCATACGGAGGACCAGACATTGCCCCTGCATCACAAATGGCAGATGCTGAAAGTCCTTGAAGCTGACTTAGAAGCATACCTGGAGTAAGAAAATCAAACTCCCCGGAATCAGAAGCTTAAGCTTAGTGCTGCCCAGGTGCACTTTTGCATGTGTGGTGGCAAAGAGGACGGTGGCACCGATCCTCACAGTTGCCCCAAGAGACCGTAAGCAAGCCCTGTACAATTGATACAATGCAACAGCAGCCGCCCTTGTTAAGGCTGCCACGCACCCAGGAGTTGTGCCAGTACGTAGTTGGGAATGTAAAATCCAGCATACCACCTGGCAGAACTTCCTTCAAGAATTAGCGAGCAAAATCTATCTTTCCTCGGCCTCTTCTGCAGAATGGCGGCAACGCCAACCCCGACCCTCAGCACGCTTGACGTAGACAAAACCATATGGCACGTTCCCCAACCACTGTTGAGTCACCAGTTTGCCCTTCAGACATCTGTCAACAGTCTGTCCCCTACCAGGGCTCTGTGGCCATGTCCCATCTGAGTGTTAAGAACCTAAATAGTCTCAACATGGTGTTCGCACAGTGTAGGTTTTCAGCCGTCTTCGCTATCCGTTTAGCAACGCAGAAATGAAGGCTTCTGCCTGCAAGGGCGTGTATCTGTCTCTCAGAGCTGCCCTAGAGCTTGGGGTCACGCGAGATGGCTGGGTTCAGGCCTCAGTGTCCACATATACAAGCACCGGCTCGCCCAGCGCAACCCATCTCCACCATGCCTTCAGACCTTGTGATTTAAAATACATGTAGGCTGATCTAAATCTGGTGCCGGGACACAGCCCCCAGAGATGTTCGCGGCACAAACGCCGCCGGCTAGGACCGAGAAGCCGATGGCAAGTCCAAAGTAGAAATTCCTGGCAGGGACATGCTGGGCCTGGCGAGCCTCATCATAACCATGTGCCCTGGCAATCACTATCAGGCTTGAAAAATTACAGCCCAGCGCCTACGTGCCTACACCAGATTGTCTGAAAATCAGCTAACAGCTAGCCATCCTGATCATTACACTTACTCTTCCTCTTACTCTTGCTCTTACTATTAGCGCTACTGCTTACTGTTACTATTACTATCACGAGTTCCCCCTAACATTAAATATTCAATATTTGGGGGAGGGGACTGCACACCATCCGGCAGCAGCACAAGGTGCTCAGGCCTCTGGAAGCCGCTTGTGATTCCCTGGCATGAAACATCACTGGGAGTTGACACAAAAATAGACATACTTGTCGTAATAGTAATAATAATAATACCAAGAATAGTAATCGTCATAATAAGAGTACAATAATAGTGATAATACCAAAGAGGCTCGTGAATTCGAGACCCCGCAAAGGTAGTGCAACAGAACATCAGGCAACTTGCCATACGGCCATACAGCGCTTCTGAAAGTCCATCGTTGGGGCGCGATCTAGGTGAAGGGCCGCATTGTCCAATGAAAAAGGCTGAGTGAAATATGGCTACCTCTGGTAAGGTGAGCTAGTGTCAGGCTAGTGCTATGATCGCACGAGAATGTGGATTTGATGGATCATCGTGGGAAGGATTCCTCATAGATTTGATGGATCATCGTGGGAAGGACTCCTCATAGCTATGACTACAAATATCAAGTCAACGTAGTGCTGTGTCCCGTTTTTGCTACAGGCTCTGTTGGACGCTGGCCCTTATTGAGCAAAGTTTTCGGGGTACAAAAGCGCGCCTTGACACAGGAGACTGACAAAAAGGTGATGCAGATCAGCATCGTGAAGGTAAACCTGTCATAGGCTCAGAAACGCAGAGTTCTCAGCACACAACACGAAAGTCCAACCTGAAGCAGCCAACACATGGGCAGGGCCACTCAACGATATAGGCACCAGCTGCCGTGTACTTCTCCTGCATAGATGCTTTGTGGTATTTGGGGCTCGATGTACTCTGCGCTGTCGCGCCTGCGGAGCCAGGTTCCACGACCCGCCTCAGCTGACCGTGCTCGAGAGGCCAAGGTGCTTAGGTGCTTCGAATACAGGCCTGCAGCCTCGTTTGCTCACAGGAGGGAAACCCTGTGCCTAAGGCCGCTGGGCAGGCCTTTATTTTGCTCTCTTCTCAAAGCTACATCTCTGTGCCATCACATAGTCAAGTATGACGACCAAGACGCTATGCGGGATGCTGTCATATATGCTCAGACAAACCACAAAGACTCGATCTGTGACTGCCTCTCGCTGATTTGGCTATTTATTTTTCCATCATCCCTGCACTTGTCTCAACCAATTTGACCTCACTGCATGTCTGCGCAGCGTCTGTCTGGTTTCCATTAGGCTCCCCTTGCCTACGTGCGTGCTTCACAGGCCACGACATGAGGCAGAATTCAATCTACTTTGACCGACGCATCCAAACCCTCTCAAGCCAAAATGCCTTGGACAGCTTGTATAATCATGATGTTAATCATAACAGTCCAAACAATGATGGAAATAGTAAGAAGTAGTATAGAATCAACTGGGAAGGCGACTTGGAAAGAGGCCCATACAGGCCAGGATAGCCAGTAGCCCTGCCGCCACCTGCAACCGGCTCTTGGAGGTTGGTGATCGCTAGCTTAACCTAGTAGACGAAACAGAGTCAAATGCCTTGAAGCTTTTTTTTTCTGTTGTGCTTTCAAGCATGTCAGGCAGGCTTGCACTGCCCAATAGGTCAGCAACTGGGTCACTGAAAATCGACGTGTGCGGGAGAGAACCTGGATTCAAATGCTACGCATCGCAAGGGCATCTCACCCGTGGCAGGCCAAGATGGCAACCAATTTACAGTGAAGTGATCCTGCTGAGGGTCCAGCAACAGCTGTTGTCACAGCAGGGTTGAAGTGGCCTTGGCTTTCTGTTCCAAGCTCACAAGCTGAGACCAACAAGTAAAGAGATGCAAACAGGTTTCTATGCCAGCCAGATTCGGAACTATCGCAAGAGTCTGGGCCCCTGACCCCCGGACAAGTCGCCGACAGCATAGACGAGGCTCCTGCAACTATATGACAACGCAGTCTGACACGGCTCTGCTCGGGTCATGCAGCTGGGGGTGCAGCATTAGCGCTGAGGCCGTGGTCCACGAGAACCTGATGCAAGCACTGGTCATGGCCTTGCAAACTGTCATGATCACAGTCTAGGGATCCAACGTCTCGGGCATGGCGCGTACACCACTCAAGCCTGAAGACAAACAAGATGGCAGGATGTTTAAGCTGAAGGGAGCCAAGCTCGACGCCATATGTGATCACGACCAAGAAGGTCCCAACAAACTCGCTGCCATACCTTTGAAACCCGAATCACTGCGTCATGGGCCGTTCCGTACAAATTGACTCAAGCTCGGACTTTATACCATCACTGGGCTCGTAGTTCTGAAAGCTGGCTATGTCGATGTACTCTTCTGGTCCTCAGAATGACAGGTCATTTTGTCCCAGCTGCCATGCTTGACTGAAACCAAACCGCTGTCCTGAATTCCTCAAGCAAAGTAAACGCCATTAACGTCCAAGTGGCGCAGCATCCGAAAGATCATGGAAGCAATCAGGCTCGCCAAAAGCTGGCCAGGGTACAGCTTCACTGCAAGATGTTGGGGAAGCACGCTGGTCGGCAAGCAATCCGTGGGAGAAATTTGCTACAAGTAGGGCGGTTTGGAGGCCAACATCATCAGCATCGTTGGGCACGCGTTTCGACCCCAAGAGTCTTCAGGCACGGACAGGCCCCCCACTCTGAGAGCATTTTTCAATGTTCCAGCCAGCTCACGCAAGGCAGCTCCATGAGCAAGATTAGAGATCCTGGGACCAGCTTCAGCAACATCATGCAACCTCATTGGTGATGCATTTCTTCCCCAAACTCTTTAGGCATGGCTGGATTTTTGCGATGTTGTAGTTTCCTCTCACATCCCCCACCCTGTGGGCACTTTCGAAGTTGTCCTCAGGGCTCTACGAAAGCTCTGGGGACTTGTGGGTGGCATTATCCAACGGTCAGCTTGAGGTTGGAATTCGTCATGCGCATATTGCGAGACAGCAGATGCATTTGTACATTTCCTGTTGCAAAGCTACATGCACTGTACGCATGATGGCATCTCTGACCCACTCGCTTGCTGTGATTCGACGCGCGCTTCGCAAGTGTCAAAGACGAGCAAGACTGCAGGTGGTTCTCTAATCGAACGTTGAACAAGAAGCACCCAGATGCAGGGGATGAGTGGAGGATGTGCACCTGGTAGCACAGGTACATAAGGCATCCGCCGTCCTGGACAAAGGATTCTACAGCAAGATCTCAAAAACGCATCCTACCCATTGCACAAATGCATGCGGTGCTGTCTCTCAAGACACGAGCCATAGTTGGTGACATGCAGCAGAACCTTCGTCACAACTCCGACACCCATCGTAACAGCTGGGTTGAACACCTGAGTCTAGCTGTGGATTGCACATGGGCCCAGTCCATTGTTGGCGTTCGAGCCCTGAGGCCCTGAGCACCAGGCCCCTCCAGACATTTGCGTAGCGCCGATGCCAGCAATTAGCGCAAAGCCGCAGGCAATGCCCTGGGTAGCACAATGCAGGCTTCGAATTTCACATCGTCAGGTCCTTCTACCCTCCACGCGTACTGCACAAGCCCTTGCGAAACGCTCCAGAACAAGAGGGACGTCCGAGACTTTCGGTGGTGAAATAGCTGCCTCCTGCTACACCCAACCTGAAACCCAGTACCCTCAAACCAATGGCAGTTGTAAAATTAGCACCTGAGCGCAGTGGCTTCAGGTCAAAAGATCCAGCCTGGCGCTGTTCGCCGAGGTAAGGCAGGATTTTGAATTATCGGATTGTCTGCTAACTGGACCTGCCGACAAAACTTAGTGGCCTGCAAGTTGTAGACCTTGCTGAACTGAATTGCTTCAGTTGCAGCCCGCTGTTCAAGGCAAGAATGCTGCACTGACTAGATGTTGCATGTATCATCTTCATCCCTGCTCACGGGAAGACTGTGGCAACTCGCTCAGTCTCCTCTGCGCTTGCTGTGGCTGTGCACGAGCACCGGGAGAAGAATGCCTCCGCCAAAGACTGAACCCGCTCGGCTGTGTAGGTTGTGCCGTTCAAGGTGTAGGTGGAGCCTGGAGGACAAGCGACGATCGCAGCGCATGCGGGCGGCTTGCAAGCAGTCGGGCAACCGATCTCGCGAGGGCATGAAGCGTAGGCCGCCTCCACGGCTTGCTGGCAGGTGCCTGCCGAAGCCACGGTGGAGGTCGCAACTGCAAAGAGGAAGGAGATGCGCATCATGGCCATGTCTCTGTCACAGAAATTGAACAAATCCTTCACGGCAGCAGCACTTGAGACAGCAGCTCTTGAGCCAGGATGTTGATTTTGGGTTGACATTCCATGATCAAGCGTCTCTTTACTTTCTGTTGCTTTCGAGCCCTCAGCCGGGTCAGCACATGTCAGCATCATGCATAGCCGCATAGGCGAGCCAAGGCCGCGGCATAGAACTGATTGGGTTCCTGGTCGGGGTTGTTCCGGCGGCTGTACACCTCTGCTGCTCTGCTCTCAGGTTCTCAAGCTCGAATCTGCCATTTCAGGGACCGTCATCTGGTGAAGGCACGGCACGCACAGGACGACGAAGTTAAGCATCGCCGTGTAAATCATCTCCACCTCTTGTTGCACCCCTATGTGCAGGCAGGTTCTCTCCTCACATGCTCTGGGTGCAACAAACGGGCACGGCCAAGTAAAATCCCAGGGCTGCTGCCAAGCATGCCTGCGTCCAGCCGCTCCCAGCCTGAGGGGAATAAATGCTTGCCGGTTGCGCGCCGTAAAAGACCAAAGTGGGCCCATCGGCCTTTGGGATGATCGCAGGCGCTTCCTCAAGTTTCAGGCTATGCAGAGGATGCAAATATCATCTCAAAGCCACAAGCTGAGCCCTGGGCCGAGAAGAGCTGGCGCACGGCCAAGAGTGCCAGGATCGCAGCGGTGGCCTGTGCCACGATGTAGGCCTCGAGTCGCTCGCAGCTTTTTGGGAAATGCGCATGCTTTGCAGCAGCTGGGAACCATGCACAAGTGGTGATGCCACGGAGCTTGCCCGCCAGAAACCTTTGAACTGGCAACCGAGTACAAGCAAGTGTCAGTCCACTTCAGTTCTTCGCTTTAGGTTCCGAGTTTTCGCATTCCAGCCGATGGCTTAAATGGAAGACGAGCTGCATCGAAATCGAAATCGATGGGTTTAGATGCCCTCCAGATACCGGAGCAAAAGCATACATCATAACCTCAGACTACAGGCGGGCATTGTAGAAGCTGCACGAGCAAATTTGACTCTGCCTTGAAGCACTACTGTTCCCCAATAACATCCAGGCCGCCATCGATGCACAAGCAATGGAGACGCTTGCCCAGTCCAGCAGTATTCCGGAAAGAGTCGTGCATCCCACCTGGGAGTGCGGGCACAAACCGAGATGCGTCAGCTCACGTCACCATGGCTGCTGCCACAGCATGCTACAGCCTACCACCCCTTCACTAACACGCGGCACCACCAGCGCTGTGATTTGAGCATGGAACCGTGAATGCGACCACGAAAGTTCCAACAAATTCGGCACTCAGCGCCGCGAAGGTCAGCGGCTTCATGGGCGCCGGGGCCCTGACATGGGCAGACAAGAGGACCAGTTCTTTCTCGGCAAGCAAAGCAGCTCAACACCACAGGCCACATCACCGGCCTGGGGCTGGGCCCCTTTCTGCACCAAGCTAGGTTCGGTCTCGGATTGAGCTCATTTGGCTGCAGCTAGAACACAACAAGTGAAATCTGACAAAATCTGCCGAGAGTGTGCCCAAAGACGGGCTTAGCGGCTTCTCAGAAGAAATGTGAAGAATGGCACTTGCTGCCTGACCAACCCCAAGGGAAGCGAAGAAGCGGGAAAGCACCGGTTTTCTCGCAAGCTCCGAATTCTGGCAGGTCAGTGTCACAAGCTCAGGTCCCTTGGGGACATAACCCGGACATGTCCTACCGCCATCTACTGCCTGCGTCCGCAAGCTATGTCCATCAAACAACAACACACTGACCTTCTTCATCGGTTGAAGATCACTGTGCTATAGGACGCTAGGCTAATACTTCGAGCACCTTCGGGCTCAAGGGACACTAGCAGATGCGAGAGGAACAGGGGATGAAGCTAGGGCATTCTTTGCGGTTTGGAGTGTAAGCTGGTTGGGGGCATCAACTTCTGCTTCAACCCCAAGCTCTCAGGTGCATTAACACGACTTCACTAAATCTACCTGAAGCCGAGCCCGCCTGTCACTTCTGTGCGGCAGCCTCTTGCGCCAGCTGCGTCATCGACATCTGGGAGCCGTTTGAAGCTGCTGCTGGTAAGAAGTCCAGAAGTCAAGCTTGTGGGCATTTGATGCACCATCTGCAGTTTTGACCACATCAGCATGTTGCAGCGCGAAAATGAGAAAACCCCGCATGTAAAGATAAACGTATTCACAAGGCCTGGTCTTCAAGCCTAAGCTCTCCCAGTATGACAACCACATTGCTCCTGGGCCGCGGGCTGCACGCTTTTGCAGTCCTTGGCTGGCAAGACTGCGGGCATGCGGGTGTTGCTCCAGGCTCCTAGCCGCTGTGTGAGGTGAGGAGGCTAGAGCAGTCGAGCGACGGACTGAGAAGCCATACTTTGGGATCATGTATCCCTGCTTCTTGAAGCCTTGCGGAGGCAGAATCACAGTCCCTCATTATTGCTCCGAACGTCCAGGAAAACATCACACCCTTATCCCAATGCTGCTCCCCAGCGCACCCTTCGAAACTTCGTGAATGATGGCTTTGGAGGTTTCCGCTGGATCGAGGAGCTCATTGCCTTTCGCATCCTGGGCCAGGTGTCAGACCCTCTAAGTAACACTGGAGCCTTGGAGCCTTGGCTGGAGCCGTGGGTTTCTGCCTGAGGCCTTGGCCCTGCCCTCGATGATGTTGGTCTGAATCTGGTCTTGGGCACGCACCTCCAAGCGACCAAAACGTAGGAGAAACGTAGGAAAAAGTAGAAAGCCTGCTTGGCAATGCACGGCAACTTCCCCCTGAGAGCCCGACCAAAGCCCGTATCTTCAGCTTGCCCTGCATGGACCTGTGCTCAGACAATCCCAAAGTTGATGCGGTAAAACTGGAGAAGTTTGGCGATCCTTCTTCTCAACTAGTACACCACGGGGGCTAAGACGTGCTTCGGAACTTGTGCCCTGTTGCTTGATGGTTTGAGACAGAACTGGCATTTTGCTCCCTTCAAGTAATCATCCTGCATCCGCAGGTAATCTTTGCTTGGTTGATGCTTCAGAAACTCCTTGCAACATGTGGGCTGTTAATTGAATGTAGGCTGCGTCCAGAGATTTCGTGGGCACAAGGTTTCTCGGTCTGAGTACTGTTGCAGCTTGTTGACCTCCTTGCGGAAACACCGAGGCCGTAGCTGCCATAGCTCAGAAACTTCAGTAGCCGCGTCAATGTGGAACAAATCCGTGAAAAAGTGCGAAGCAGATTTGCACAAGGTTCACTGGCCAGGCTGGCAGTCTGCAAACACAAGTACAATAACACATGTTTAGAATGAGCTTGATGCATCTTCCTAGTCCGTTTGGGCCCATGCTCCAGCATCTCGATCTGCAGCAACTCGTCCATGTCGGGGTCCTGCAAGATCTGCTTCGCACATTCAGGAGGAGGCTGGACAACCCCAATATATACCCAAAATTATCCCAAGATTACCCCGATATGTGGTATACCCAATGTTATCCCAATATTACCACTATTACCCCAATATTATCCCGATATTACCACAGGATCCCGCTTTCCAAACGCACAGTGTGGCCTGACAAAAGCTTCTAGAACAGCACTTGTGGCATAGGCTTAGTGGTCACAGAAATCGAGGAGTCCTCCAAAGGCTCCCCGCTCTTCTCTGCCTTCAGAGAGACGTTGGATATTAGGGTTCTATTGGGGTTTTTTTTCGGGTTACATTGGGGCTATATTAGGGTGACATTGGGTTACATTGGGTTTTTTTGGGGTTATATTAGGGTTATATTGGGGTTACATTAGGGTTACATTGGGGTTACATTGGGGTTTTTTTGGGGTTATATTAGGGTTATATTGGGGTTATATTGGATCTTCAGCATTTAGGTAGTTCTGGGATGTGGAATATCGTGAAGCATGGACTTGCGCTGAACACTCTTACCATGTCTGACCCTCCCGTGCACCTGCTCAATGATCTCCCGCCGACGCTGTGCCGCCTTATAACTCTTGGCTTGCACAGCAAGGACTCCAGCACTATCCTCAGCAACTGGTTTGGCAAGTGTCGGGCAGCCAAACCCATAATTCAAATTCAAAGTTGACGCTAGCCAACACTGAAACCCACTCATCCAGGATGAAACATTCAGAGGCCTCATGGCTAAAAGTGGCTTTGCTTCTGCATGTTGTACCTGCGAGCAGTTGCGCCTCGATGGCCCAGACACTGCCCGGAGGAGCAGGGGCTGGCAGAGCTCGCATCAAGGCCTTGCTTTTGAAGGAGACTCGCACCATCACACATTGTTTCGATTCAAATTGGGAGTATCATGCTTAAGAGACAAGCCTGGACTTTCAAATCTGGCTGATGTCAAAACTCAAGAATGCCAGCTGGAACGCTGCTGCCAGGAAACATCAGTAATTGGTTTTCGCCAAACGCGGTCGAAATCCTCCTGGCACGTGTGACTGGAAGCAGTCTGCAGCGTGATGCGGGCAGAAAGGCGCACTGGACTGGGAAGCCTTGCATGGCTGGCAAATGCTGGCAAGAGCCATCGGCCTCGTCATGCTGCCCAAAGCCAATGGCACGGACCCACTGCTGCAGGCCGAAGACATCCTGGACATAACATCCTCAAAAGTATACAACCCTGCTTCGGGTGATGCCTGCGGTTTAGCTGAAAGCCAGTTCTCGCGGTGGCCTCCTCCTCGAAGTTCAGCTCTTCTTCTTCCACAGCCACCTCACCTCCAAGAAAAGGTATGCTGGTGTCCACCCACATGCCGGCCCCCGCAGGCTCTTTGCTGAAAAACTTCTGAGTTGCAGGCCAACGTCTTCACCCTCTTTAGTGAAGCCGGACATGCCGCTGCTGCTGCTCGAGTCTTCTTCTGCTTCTGACAGGGGCAAGGCACAGCTGAGCTCAAAAAAACTCTCGCTGAATCCACAATCTCCCCAAGAGACCTTCGGAAGGCCCGGCCTCTTCGAGCAATCTCCTCAAGTTCCCGGCGGTGGAACTCTTCGTAGGTCTGCCAGCTTTATCGGGGAGGGTCCAGGCGCTACGAGCCGTCATCCCTGAATATTCTAAGCAGAAGATGCAGTGACAAGCATGCTCAGACATCGGCGATGCCCAACTCCTTGGCCTTCGCCCTATCTTCCCTGCCAGAATCGTGCATGACATCAGGCAGGGCAAGATGTGAAAACCGACGGCTGAAATCTTAAGTTGCAGTAGGAACCACTTTCACAATGAGGTGCGGCCTGTACTTTGCCTGGGCGGCCAGCTGTTGCTGCTTGCGGTAGATGGTGTTCCACCGACCAGGCTCCTGATTATGTCTGCGCAAGGTCCCGCAGCGGCCTATTTTCAGAACACGCTGCAAAACTATCGGTCTGTTTAAACATCATCTGTGCTGAGATAATGGAATTCCAAGGGTCCAAGGCAGATAACTATCTGAGTATGCAAGGAGTATGCTTGCCACTACATCCACTGGCCTTCTCAAGAAGAACCGATAGGTTCGATAAGTAAGGCAAAACAGCCTTCTGCTCAAGGCAGCGTACCTCAGCATCGGCCCAACGAGCCTTGAAGGCATCTGCGCCCAGGCCCTGTGGCACTCCGAAGCATTCAGGCAAATTGCAAACGATTGCGCGGCTCAGGCGAAGCTACAAGCAGCACCTCTGCCACTTGGATCATGTGGTGCACCTCTTCACGGAGACGTGGGGTGAGCCACTCCTCAGGTCGAAAGACAGAACTTCTCCCAACAAATTAACTTTCCTGCAGCTGGAAGGCCCAGGTCCCCGGCTCCATTGCCCTGGAGGTCCTGAGGCTGCACGCCCTGATTCTCGATCCGGTGGTCCTCAGCAAGGTAGCCAGCCAGCATTTCTTGTGCAAATTTCGGCAAAAAGCAAACACATCAAAACAGATCAGCAACTTGTCTGCACTTTGGCCTCCAGCAGACGGGCCACAAAACAAACGCAGGCCGCACACCAAGTCGTTACCATTGTTCCCAGACATTCCAGTCGGGTCCATTCCCAGAACGCACCCAAAAACATCAAGAAGCCCCCCCCCCCCCACAAATCCGCCCCAGTGCCATAGCAGGTCGCGTCCTCACCGCGAACCTCCTTGCGAACCCGGGTGCGATAAACATAAGCAGAGGCTGCTGATGCTGCAGCACAGGTAGGAGTGCAATGGACCGAGCATCAGGCCCCTTTCCGGGTCTCTTCCAAGGCTCGTCCCAGCCGTGTTGCGGCCTCGTAGTTTCCGGGCTCCATTTAAATCTTACTTGCAGAGCACGTTAGCAAAGGAGTGCGTTTCCTTGCCTTTGAAATTGACACTGCTGCTATCCAGCCTTGCCTGGCGGATGACGAACTCCGTGTCCTCACCCCCTGCCTCCACCAGCGCCGCCTCAACAGTTTAATTCGAAGCAACAAGGCCAATCTCCGACCAGCATCAGCGCGAACCCACAAAATGACACCCATCACATCAGCCATGCACAATTGATGATGTTTAAAGTCATCAGGCATGTCGGCCGCTCCCTGCCCTGTGCGAAAGCACCTCCTGCTGCGTACCTCAAACACTTGGCCTGCCAGTGCTTCTCGACGGCAGTTCCAGCCACGGGCATGCCGGCAGGCCTTTCCAAGAAGAAAACCTAAGCCCTGTGCTGTTCTGAGCTCCTACATATATATTCACACAAATATTGTAGAAGCGCCATATATAAGACATGCTAATACAAAACTATATAATGCTATATCTATATAATTGTATATGTACACCTACTGGGATGCCCTGAGGGAGCCCTGAGGTGCTAGCGCAGAGAGCAGAGCCAGCTCCTCACCCACAGCAGGGTTTAGGGTTTAGGGCTTATGCAATCGGAGATGACGATCCAGAAGCGAATCACTTGTGGATGACTACAGAAAAGAGGGACTCACCGACGCCTCCAAAGAGGGTTTAGGGTTTAGGTTTTAGGGCGTTTGAACCCAACCATACGCTTAGGGGAAGATATGAGGATATATAGGAATTCTATAGCGGTCATGTAGGGGATAATGGAAAGGTTGAAATAGGAACTACTTTTTTTCGGGCTTAGGGATATCAATCCTACAGGTAAAGAATTCCCACTCTTGTTCATACTCCTAGGGGACATATAGGGACATTACAATCATGATGGTAAATCAAATGGAAAAGAAAATGGAGGATAGAATCGAAGCTGGGACTGTACAGGGATCATGAATTTCCCCAAACTTAGGAGCATCTTTTTGGGGGGCTATATGGTAAGGATTTTTGTACATGTGGGCCTATATTGCAAAACTACCAACCAAGTAATTGCAATTTTATGTTGCGCGCGTGAGACCTTAAGCAAAGACAACAGATACTACAGGTCTAAATTACTAAAGGCACATGAGCAGACGACAACCCGAGAACTCCTCTTTTAGACAGCAAGAAGTGGCTGATCCCAGACCTCGCCTCCTGACCACCCTATGCTGTTTCCCCATGTCTGAACCGGCCCAATAGTACAACCCTTCCAAAACCACAAAACGTGAATCACTTCTCAAATCCCCCAAAAAAGTCATAAACACAATCTCAAAACAAAGCCCACGATAAATCCCAAAACACAAGTGGAAACCAAAAGCAGCCCAATAGTCACGAAGAATCGCGAGCCTTTGTTCAGGCGTACCTACCCTGCATCTCAACCATTCCTTCATGAGGTCTTAGGTCAGCCCCCTGGGGATGCCCATTACAGAGAGCTTTATCTAAATCAGTTGGCAAAATACTCCTTATCTTTATACTTCATTGTAGCATCAAGTTGGGCTGATCCTGTTGGCTCGAAGGTACGAGTAAGCGCCCACTCAACAGCATTTACTATTGCCGTGTTCGTCGTGCTTTCAAAAGTTAGGCGACTACTCGTAAAGATGCCCAAGAAAAGAAAAATCATTACAAAAGAGACGAGGAAACCTAGAAGTGAGAATAGTTTCGCAGCGTCCCACACAAATATTGAATATCAGTTGGAAGTGTTCTTGATGAGGGAAAAGATTTCGATCAGAAATGGAATAGAAGTGGTGTGAATAAATGTTTTAGTCAACATGCTACTGTTCTATCCATTTAGAGTAGCCGCCTATTGCATTAGCCGAATGATGGAAGGGCCACAAAATAGGGCGATAAACCCAAGTGTCTCATAGTGATGAAGAGGGGAGTTTGTATAGCAAAGATACGCAGAACTGGAGAGCATCCGATTTCGGTTCTACCCTGATCTCGTGGAAAGACGTAATCACATGCATGACACGAAAACAAAGGTGTCACAGGCTACTGAAATGACACCGATAACAGTACGAAAAAGAAAAATTGAAGTGAGATGTCTAGGGTCAGCCATTGCTGAAACTCCATGCATCTGAGTGCGGCACCCTCAGCTTCGAAAGGACCGAGAAGACCTGAAGCCACCCAGCTCCAGGGATGTCTTTAAATACACTCGATCCAGTACTTTGCAAGCATGAACTTGACTGTGACTGCCAATGAGAAACCCGGGATGCTGGGCTCCTGACTGCGGTGATGACTGCAGAGTTCTGCTCAAGAGAGGAAATGCGCGAGCATGACGCTTATGCGTTGACATGTTGAAAGACAGTGCTCACGCTTCAGAAACAGCCTTGCGCAGGCGACATTGAAGCTGCGCACTAAAGTATTGGAATCTCACTGAAGCTCTGAGTTGCATGATACGCATGGACCTAGTTTGCAAGCGCGTTGCACATGTGCTGTCCTCGTTGTGCGTCCGCAGGGTGCTAATGAGGGCCGTCTTCATGCTGGTCAAATGGCGGAAGACCTGCTCGGGATCAGACCAACACCTGGATGTACAAGACCTTTGACAACCTCAGCCCTTTGCACTCCGATGTGACTCAAGTCTAGACATTCATACTAGTTATTCACACTTCAGCTTGAAGTGCTTCAGGCATCCTACACATCATTCTCATGCAGGACTGCTCATGGGGAGTCCGAACAGGAAATCTGAGAGCCCTAGCAAGCCGTGCCCTCACATCTGCACCGGGCATGTAAGTTAAAACGGCCAAAAGCTTTGCCATGCAGCCACTACAGCTGCCTCGTTGAACTGGCGGTCTTCCTCCACGATAGTGTTCCGCAGCTTCAACTGTCGTGGAAGCAGTGGCAGCACAGCGAACACCATCCAGACTGCTATAAGCATTGGAAGCAAGGAAGCCTCCACATGGCGACAACGATTTCTGCCCTGGTCGTTGGCCTGTTTGGGAAAGCCGAGGCATTGCATCGAGAAAAACTTGATCGCAACGCGATACAAACAGACCGACCTTTTGCACCAGGGCTTTGTGGTGCCTTGCTTTGACATTCGTGCAAACAGCATGCAGTTGCTGTCTCAAAGCCAAGCACCACTTGAAAAGGAGAACTTCTATGAAAAGACTACAAAATTCCAGAGGCCCGCCGCCTGCCAAACAGGAGCGAAAGCAACAGCTGAGCTTCAGACTCATAGATCAGCAAGAACAGGCGACCTGCACCGAACACGCTTCAGCTCCGCAAGCTTCAGTGACTTACAAACCCGGCAGGCGCACAGGCTTTGATGACGATGGCAGGTCGATCCTTTGCAGCATGCCCGCGCAGGACCTTCGGGGCGGCATCGCGCAGACAACCGTTCACACAAGCCGTAAAAGCCTTTCTGGGAAAGGGACATCCACAAGGACCTGGCACTTGAGAGACAAGGACTCCAGCCTGCCAAGATACACCATCTGCGATGCTCTCAAACGAGATGACAGCATCTTCTTTTTTCGTGCTAAGGTAATGGCGAGCCCATGGCCTGACGTTCCTCACAATGCAATGAGCCACTGCCGCATGCAGAGGAAGGGAGTCAGAGGCTCCGGCCGGGCCCTGTGGAACCTCGACTTTTCCCAGCTTCATCCGCATCCTGACCCGGTCCAGCACTAGCAACTAGGCAAAAAGGTGAAACCACCAAACAGCCTTGGGCCCTTCTTGCCGTCTTCCTCGGCAGCTGAATGCTCTGCAAATCTTTAGAGGCTGGAGCATATGACCCTTCTAGAACGAGCTTTGGGCCACGGCTTGCTCATCCTCGTCCTCCTCCTCCACGCTCTTTCTTTGGCCTCTCCTCATCTCCTTCTGACAGGCCGGAACAATGAAATCCAGGCAACGATGAAAGATCCCTCTGCTTTCTTGCCTTTTGCTCCTTGGCTTCCAGTGCTGCGTCAAGGAAATCTTCTCCCATGTCCTGCAGTCGCATTCCACGGCCAAATAGCCTGGCATGCCAAACCTCAAGCACTCTTTCCGTGTATGCCCTTGCATCCTATGCAAGGCTAGGTGAACTAACAGTTCGTTCGCACAGGAAACTCAAGAAGATGTTCTGTGCTCCAGCAACTTATTCATGTGGTACGCAAAGAAGTTGCCGGACAGCTGCCGCCTGGGGAGATGGACTGACAGACAAACTTCTGAAATTAGTTTGACGGGAAAGCCTAGGGATGGGACAACGCGCCAGAATTCCCGACCACGAGCAGAAGAAGCGCCTGTGAAAGCAGAATCCAACAAAAACTAGGCCGAGCGCCACAAGTTTCAACCCTTGGCCCTGGCAAGGTATCCTACGGACGAAAACTTCGGGAACCCTCAGACATTCTTCATTTTTGGCAGGCGGTTTGCCGACCCAGCCTGCAAAGCGGCATTCATGACTCTTCCACCCATCACCTGAACCAGTTGCATGTTTCGCGATAGAATTCAGGTTGCGCTCCAACAGCTGAGCTATACTCGGCCTCCTTGTCAACCAGCTTTTGCCAAGCCTTACGATACCCAGGTTTCGCATGCGGGCCTTGGTGACTTTGGACAAGGACCCCGCAGTTCGCAGCTCAATGTTGGCCTGAACCTTCATGATGCGGTCCTGCGACTTCTGTTGAACCGCAAGCCCACCCATCCAGGTAATGAAGCAGTCCTTCAGACCCATCTTTGAGAAGGTATTGACCTGGCAGTGTCAAACCCCATCGCAAAACCTCCATCCAGACTCATACCTGTCACGACCCAAGCACGAGCGCTTCAGGACTTGCACTGGCCTGCTTTCATTAGAGTCTTCGCTGGGGCTCCACACCGCCGTGCGCTCTCGAACCAGCCCCAGGTCAACCTCTTCCTGCCTCTGCCGCCTTGCGTTGGATGCAAGAACAAAACAGAGCCCAGTTGGTTGCTTCTCCATGCATCAGCCCAAGGAGGTGGCTTGATCTCAGCCTCCTTCAACTTCTCCTAGGCAGTTCTCATCCCTACTCCGCCTTTAGAACAACCCACACGCAACGCCGCGTCGTCCTGCATCATCATGTGCGCCTTGTTCGCACAAGTTCGCACCTGTGTTTCATCAAAGACTTGTTGTACGAACTTTACACACCTCCGCAGTGCTTCCATTAGCATCATTGCATCCGCGCCATGTGCTCTAATTACGCGGTCCCACCTCCTTCATTTGCAGCGTTAGGATGTCAACTATTGTTTCCATCCTTGGGAGCAGTGGGTGACCGCTCCTTCCACCTCAACTCTGGGGCCGCCACGCGCCCTCGCGGCAAAGAGAGTTCTGGCAGTCACGGTGGGCCTTTACCCGCACCTGGCTGTGAAGCATCAAAGGATGAAAGCTTCAGCTTACGTTGGCACCCCGCCGGCTTCAGGTCGCCGGTCTTGGCAGCAGTCCCAGAGCCTGGCGCAAGGCTTCACTGCCAGCTTCACTTTCCCAAAGATGTGCGGAGGTGCTCTGAGATTCATGCACAGGTGTCCGATGAGCAGGCATCCTGCTTCTGAGACTTCAGGACCTCAGGATGCGAGGACTTCCAAACCATGCCCTCAAGAAAGCTCTCGAGGAGGCCACTGGCCAGATGGCGCTCCATGGATCGCATAATGAGCTTCACGTTGTCCAAGTTGTCTCTCTGGAGTGCCTGCATCTGAGCTACCCAATAACAACCATAGTTTGCGTCTTGGGCACTCACGGGAGATGCATGTTCAGATTTAGAACAAATTGGATACGGCGACATTTTTCAAGGCTAGCCAAGACCAAAGTACACTCCGCCCATCACTCGGCGAGTTTGGTGCAAAATCTCTCAGAATCAGAATTTCCTTGCGTGGGGTCTCCAATACTGTAAACAAGCTACGCCAGCGCGGCAGCCACATAGGATCCAGTCTATCGAATGCCCACATGTTCCACATGCAGCCAGACAAGACCCCCACGAAGATCTGGAAAAATTCCTCAAAAGCCCGTTCACATATTCCCTGAGATTGCAACACCTCTGCTGCCAGCGGTGCATTCTCCACGCTGGCCGCGAGGAGCCGCACCTGCTTCTCTGATGAAGGCAAGAGCTAACATCTCAAAGCACGATTACGATTAGTCAGAATGTGGTGGTTCCGCCAGCATCCTTCCCGGCTTCACAGGGGTTCAAATGCCCATGCACTGCATCTTTTGTGCCCTTGCGCATCACCTGTGGCACTGTGATGCATTGTGGGACTTGGGGGCGCTCCTTCCAGGAAGGGCAGGCGCCTAGCTGCTTCTAGCTGGTCCTACCTGGAACGGTCTCTTCGTGGGCCTTCAGGCTCTGGGCACTCTGGCGGGGTGCGCCAGGTTGCAATTGCGAGCACTCCTTTGAACACGCGCTGGCGACTGGGAGCGGTTATCGCAGAGCCCCTGCTGAGGTGCACCAAAGTTGAGTGCTAATTAGGGGCTCCTCCGTCCTACCCGGGGCACAGGACGACAATCTCAGCGCATATGATGCGGTGCCCAGCAACTGACGCCTACTCAGTGGGGCCTGCTGGGAAGCTCAACTTGACAGCACACCGGGTGCAGCTTCGTTGGGGACGCTCCTGCCTGGCGAGCCAGGGGTGGGTAGCTGTTGCTGAGTGCCAGCCTGCAGAACGCAGCCCGGGGACTTGGGCAGATTACATTTTCAAGTTCAGTTTGCATCTGCATCACGAAGCTGCATCGCTCATTGGCGAGTGCACCCTTGCTGGCTGGCCATTGCCGGAGCACGGATGCTCAGAATCTCGGCAAACGTCCAAAACGGCTTTGCTCCAGTGCATTCTCAACTTCCTCGTTTCGTGGTCTGCGGCAAGAGCCTGAGGCCCTTTTGTCGGAACCTGCCGCCATGCTCCACTGTGGATGCATTCCTAGCCAAAGAGCCATGCTTTAGGGGTGGCCATTACTGCCGCCGACCCCGCATCATTGCACTTCCATTTCTCCAACTGGTCTTGTTGGTTCCTACCATGCGTTTTTGGGGCTTGCATGCACCGCTCGGACGCCCAAGACCCTCAAAAAACATCATGAAGACCTGCTGTTTTGGATATGAGCACACAACGCAAGAGACGCTCAGGGATAAAGGAAAGCCCAACAGAGGAGAGATGGACCGACAGTGATGCTGACAATGCGGCTAGCATTATGGGTGTCCTGGTCATTGTGGGTTCTTTTCATTGGCTGTATGAGGGTGTCCAAGTTTTGCACGAAAGTTTTATGAGTGTGGCATGAGTTCTGCTATGGGTTTGTACCAGCCTTATCAAGCTTCAAAGGTCTCTCAGTGGACTTAAACTGGCTCCAGCATCATTGAGAGGTTTGTATTGCTTTGAATTCTGCTGCCTTGCTGTCTGGTAGGCCTGTGATTTGGGGTCCACTGGTCTGAGTTGGAGTTCCTTCATATCATGCCTTCAGGCATTTCACTCCATCTGCAGGAGCTTTGCACGAGTATTACAAGGAGGAGGAATCAGGAAAGCAACGTTCAAGCTTTGCAGCCCTTGCAGCCCCCTGTCGCTAGAGCTACAATTTCTGAGTGGCGCGCCACATGCGTGACTATCTGCTCGTCCTAGGCAGGAAGCTTTCCATGAACAACGAGTTCCTTGAGAGCTTCCCAGGCCCCACAAGCTAAAAGAGCATGAAATTTAGCATCATATGCTAAGTTGAAGTTCTCATTAGAACAGCTGGGAACCAGACGTCCAACCGCAGCATCATCATATGACAAGCCTCAACTGTCATGCAAGGTAAACAGAAGGCTGATCCATGGCTGTCTAAAATCCTATGCACTGGGATCCAAACATGCCGCGATCCACCCATCCGCACAAAGGCTTGCTGCAAATCCACCTGAGAATGTGAAGTGATGTAAAAGAAGGTACGGTGTTGAGCGGCATGGTGCACAGGACAAATTCCCTCCTTTCATCTGCGCTGTTCGGTTCGCACACCAGCTTTGGGTGCTTCCCGTTCCCGCCCTGTTCGTTCAGCATCGGCATAGACAGTCAGGAGGTCATTGCAAATGTCCTGCAGAAGTGGCACATGTACCACGTAACCCCCTTTCTGCAAGCTCAAGCATGCGGAATGCGAGCAGCTGGATAGTTGAAAACCTGCGGCGGACCCGGCAACACTTGCACTGGGCTCAACCCAAGTGGCTTGGCCACGAGCTGAGGCTAGTTTGCTCCGGCTGTTGCTTGGAAGCAGCAGCAACACCCACAATGCCTAAACTCGTAGCCTGTCCACCACCTAAACAACGACGAATCTGAAAGTTCCGTCGTCACCAAGGCGGCCCCTATCCATCTTTGGCGCAGTTTGCCTTGCACTCGCATGTGTTGCCAGCGCAAGCATGGATGCGCCTCCAAGTGCAGCTTGTGCAGAAAATGGACTGGTAAAGGCCACATGGCCAGACAGCATCATCCCGCATCAGCTTACAAGCCAACCTGCCTTTTCATGCCAGCGAGGGAGTGTGCACTATCTTTACAACACCAAAGCAACCGAAAATGCTTTGCTGTCACCAAGAAAGAAAAATTCCATTCTGTGGTGCATATTGCCTCGCACAAGCAGATTAACCAAAGCGAGCATGGATGCAACAAGAGGCGAAAGCCCAGATCACAAAGCCCTTGTTTGTCTTAAAGTCTTAAAGATCCTGGACTCCTCGCCTCGATCTCGTCGGCGCCCTGATCCTGGCCGAGGCCAAGGAAGCCTTCCAGCTGCGGCTCCTCAGAAGGCACCAAGCTCAGCAGAGGACGAGGAGTAGCAGAAATTGGTGTCAAGCTCTGTAGCATAGATCTAGCAGCTTTAGCTTAAACATCACGAAAGAAGGAAGATGTGTCCTTGTTCCAGGTGCTCAGCTGTACAGTGAAGGCATGGATGTGCACTGTCAGGATAGGCGTTGGAGAGAAGTCAATAGCCAGAAAGTTTAGGAATATTTGGGACAAATGAAGGGACAGCTTCCAACACTGAAGTAGATGAACAAAGAGGCGCAGTCACGCATCATTCAGCCTGCCAAATGTCTTCACGGCCTGACACACTTCAGTAAGGGCCACTCAGGCCCGGCAACCAAGGTCCACGCAAAACTGCCGTAGGAAAACCTGGCCAACCCCCTGCCCCCCAATCGCAGCTCTGGCTCTCGCAGCAGGCGATCCAGCCTGGCGAAAGATTCAGGGATGCTTTGTCGAAGCACATCTGTTGCCGTGGCTGTTGAGACACTGTACATTTGCCAGCTGCTGCCAGTGCAGGCGTAAGGGAAGAAAGCGAGCTACCCGCCTCTGAGCGAGTCGATCAGCAGGCAACTGATACTCCGGCACCTGGTGACGTGCTTCAGTCCGTTAAGCCCAAGTCAATGCTTATGCAAATCAGGATACATTGAAAGCTTGTGACAGCTTGTGCATGATCAGCAATCGACATCACTGCAAGCATCAGCAACGGTTGCAAATGCAAATGTGCTAGCAAAATCGAAATTCTGATTGCTGCAGAGTTCGGGCTCAGGTATTCCTGAGGCTGAAAACTCTAATCCCGCACACGCGGCACCCTTCGGCTCATCTCGAAGCTCAACCTGACAACTTGAAGCAAGAATGAAGCTGTACTGATATTCTGACTCGCTACCCCTTCCATGTAAAGATTCGATATCGTGTCTCGTCATAGCAAATCGGCTTGCACCAGGCGCTGCAGACTTGAAAGGTGTCAAACTTGCAGCCCACGGCGCCACAGCGTGGCAGAGGAATTCAGAACATAAAAATACCGCGGGTTAGTGCCAGAGACCACATTCAGACAATTCTGCATTTGCTTACCACAGCTGAGCGACAGCAGGCAGGACAGTGCCAGACGATCGGGTAAAGCCACACAGACTTCACCTCAAATCACCGGTGCCCAGCTTCATGTGCACATGCCAAGGCCAAGACTCCGGTTTGACATCGAAAGTAGCGATGATAGCCGAGATTACATTACATTACATGACATGGCATTACATTACATTCACGACCGGAACAATAAGCAGTCTTTAGCCAAACGGTCTTGCTGGCTGCAACCCATACTGTCCGCAGCCCTTGACGGGGGCAGAGCGGGTTGAGACACCCCGTGCAGCATGAAAGGAACGAACAGGGCCAGCTTCGGAGTGCCAACCAGACCGTGGCATCAACTTGGCAAGATGAACAGCAGCTCAGGTGCTTCGAAACGCATCGTTGAGAAGCGTCCAGGCAAGCCTCTGCAGTCATGAACACAGCTCCAAAGCAAGTGATAGAAAAGGTTCAAGGCTCAGGCGAGAGAACCGGCGCATCACTGGCATCGCTGCTGAGAAGCCACGCAAACCTTCGGCTTCTCAAGACACAGCTGCGTTGAGAGACGGAGCATTCGCAGATGCATTGCTCTGAATGCTGAGGGCATCCAGTTCAGACTTGGGGGGGTCTCGCGGGAGTCTGGCTTCCTATTGCGGGGGTGCCCGAAATCTGTGGTAAGCGAAAAAACCTCAACAAAATCATCTCTGCCTCCCACAAATGAAGAAAACCGTCCTGACTCTGGCACCCGGCTCAAGGGAAGTCCTGAATATGCTCTGAATCTGTATTGCGCAGCAGGGGCCCCGACTCCGCCAGGTACGCCTCAGCATCCCGTTGGCGATTAACCACAGTCTGAAATATCACATGATCAGTGCTTGGTTGTGCACGTAAGCAGGCGTGAGCTCTACATCAAAGCCCATTGCTCGCAAGAGTACCTTCGAGTGACTTCTTGATAGCCGTGTTTCGCCTAGTTGCTGGAATCCCAGCCTGCTCGTGCGTCACAATGTCGTCGCGCAACGCCCAGTATGCCTTGCTGTTGCGGGCTCAGACCACTTAGCATTCACACCTCATGAGCGGACTACACACTCCGTAAACAAGCCTCCATGGGCATACCCTTCTCGTCCTGGACCTTGTCCAAGAAGACCTGACAGCACCAACAGGCCTTGCCGCACTGCCCAACTACCACAATCTTTCGCGGGTGCCTCGAAGGAGTTCACGATGTCCCGCAAGCGGCAGGGAGACTCCCTCACCTGCACTCCACAGGATTCCGCAAGCAGAATTTCTGGACTGTACCAGATCACTGTCAACCCACCTTCGACGCCAGCCATATGCAAGCAACTGCTAGCCGGTGTGGATCGAAGTCACCTGGAATTGCCACCGCTTTAACGAAGCCTCAGGAACCCAGCCCACCTTTGGCAGCATTATCCTACCATCGCTAACTACGAAGGTAAAAACGATAATCTCCACCAAACCTCTGTCAGGCGCTTGAAAGCTCGTGTCATTCAAAACCTGCTTCCATGGTCCACGCATCTTCCATCATCCAAACCCTGGACGGGACATGGGCCTTGCCTGCCTTGCCGCTCAGACAGGCAAAAGCGCTGAAAGAAGAGTGCAGCACTGGCTGTGGCCACCTTATGCAGCCCGTCTTGCAATGCTCTATTCCACACTGTGATGGTCTTCATGCTTTGTTGCATACAAGTAAGCGCTTCTGCTTGTGATGTGTATAACCGCAGAGTTAGTGTGAAGGCATGCTAACAACAAAATCAAGCCAACATCCATCTCACTAGGTCTCCAGCAGTGTCCATTCCCAGATCAGTTGCAACGTACCACATGAGTCTGCCCCAGTGCCTCCTGGGATGCAGATGGCGGACGTGGGCCCCAGAATAGACGAATAAAATGCTCGAAAAAAATATGGACTCAAAACCTGCAGCCTAACTGCACCTAGCTTGGTAATCTGGAGCCCAAGCCAAGACCTTGAACAGGAATACCCTCCCCAAACAAAGTAGCAGGGGCTGCTGTGCTGTTTTGTAGTAGGCTACATGAAGGTCGGCGTTCTGTTGGGGGTAAAGACCACTCAGCAAGACGCTCTTTCAGCATCGGCGTATCTTGCACGTCTGCCATGGGCCAGGTAATGCTTTGAAGCTGTGGATGTCTGTGGGAAACTTGGTAAAGACGGCTCCGCCAGTAAGAGCCCTCAATCGCTACCAACATATATGTCTGTATTACTGATCAAATGATGTGGCTGTGGTGTGTCATGTCTGGAAAATGTCTGTATGATTTCGGTAGCCAAGCCGATCTATTGTACTGTAGTCTATCCAAGGAGCCAGAGCAAAGGGTCAGCAGCGTAGTTTCAGTGCAACGGCCGGCGATCCTGATTCCATTTCGCTTGGGCCCGTGCACGAGACGGCTTCTCGTCCTGAGCTCCAGCCAAGGTCTGAACGCCACGTATAAAATGACAGCCGGTCTGCCTTGCGCTCAGCGGCCAGGCAGCGGGACATGGCCACACAAAGCTGCAAGCAAACCTGGCAGGGTGGAGGCTGACGCGCTGACAGGCGAACCACAAACCAAACAACACTATCAGTGCGGGCTTGCAGCAGCTGCTGCAGCAGCAGCAGCAGCAGCACTCAAGAAACACTACATCTGATGATGAGCATTGCTTGAGTTGCTGCACTTGACACAAGTTGCGATGCGCACCATTTTTCCGCATGTCGAAGAATGCAAGGTTGGTGCACCAGACAGCCCGGCACCTTGAACATAAAACTTGAAACTGCACGTGAAAAAGAAAGGATGTTGTTACCTTACATGATGATCCTGATACAAAACTGCGACTGTTCTTATCTTTACAACATTTTCGTACACTCGTTGATTTCATTCAACTCCGGTGGGTCAGCCTCTCCACGATCTCTGCTCCACAGATCCAGGGAGACACCGTAAGCAAATGAAAATTCAGACATGTAGGTGTCTAGAAATAGACACCTGAGAAACGCCTTCAGGCAAGAAGAAAAAAATGTCCTTGCCCCAGAACTGGTGCACATCTCATCACATCTCCTGATGCGCACCCAACACGCCTTGCACACACTCTACTGTATCCGCCCTGAATCCATCTCAAGCGCTGCGTGCTGATAGGTACAGGGCAGATGTAGGTGGTCAGAAATGTGTGCAAAAGTGGCTGCCTGTCAACGTTTACGGACATAAGCTCCCAGGGCAGCATATTGAACAGCTGAACACCATCTTGAGCCTGCTTGGCAACATGGTTCTCATAGAAAACAGAATTGTTAAGGAGTCTACGCCTGGGCAGCTGGTCTTGGCAACTCATAGAAGTGCACCTGGACTCATCCACAAGGCGGGTCAAAAGGTCCAAAGACTCCGGCCAGCAGACACAGACGCTCGCCTCTTGGTGCTTCCCAAGTGCAATGGCAAAACATTTCGTAAAAATGCTGAGCTTACCGAAAGTCACCATGTCTGTGCACTTGCTTGAGGTGCTGTGTGACCAACAACAAGCGAAGCTTCGTCTGCACCATGCATTAAGACAAAATCTGAACATTTTGTGGACTTTACTGCCATACACTTACTTACGGAGCATCTCAAGCTTCCCACCAGGAGTGGTGACCGGCGGGCAACAATTAGCGTTTGGATCAAGTAGGGCAGCTTCAGAGTTCGAAGTAGGGCGTATGTTCGAAGAATCCATGTTGAACATCATTGTCGTCACTGAAAGGTTGGACACCCCATTTCGACGCCGCCCTATATCTAGGCGCAAAGCAGGACAGAAGTTTTTGGTTTCCGTCCACGATGGCAAAACCCAACTGTGCTTGGATGTTTCTTTCAAAAGCTTTGACTTCTTTCCTAAGGGAAAACCATGAGAGACTCTAAGACCTTTCTCTCCGTATGTTATGTTACGTGAACTACAGTCGACATTACTTACGTGACTGAGGGATATGGGGGGGGCGTTGAGTTGAATATTGATAATATGGGAACACTTCTTTTCAATTACCGTAAGGTACCCATCCCCTGTAGTCCCATGACAAAAATACTATTGATTCTTTGTCACATGCATATCGCGTGTTACCAAATACATGTTGTCAAACCACAACAGCTTGGCTATCTGTTGCCAATAGGTTACTGCAACGGGGTTGCCTGTGCCAAACCTCGTGACGGCCCATTAGCGTGAGAAACACTTCCGTGGAGGAGATCCACGAGCATGCAGGCGATGGCTACCAATTCGACTTGCAAGCCGGCAGCCACTTGAACGTTTTGATTGATGGCAGAAATCCAATTTGTTACAGAAGATGGAAGCAACGAGACGTCCCACAACAGTTTCCAAAGAGAAGTACCGTCCTCGTCTGGTGGAATATGTGCAAAGCAAAGCAGAGATCCTGCTGCGACACTTCCCCGTTGGAAAAGATCTGCGCTGGCAGCGGGGATCGCGAGATCCTCAAAGTTCTGGACGAAAAATACCAGGGACAGGCCGACCTGGAAAAGGATATCAGCAGTTCCATGTCCGGCTCACTTAAACAAATCGGGTCCGACGGTGTTGACGACATGGCCAAAATGTAGACAGCCTCGCTGAAGATGTTTCCCGAGGGAATGGCTGGAGTTGTTGTCAAGAACAAGGAGGCCCTGGAACCGGGCAAGACGGGAACAACGAAAATTGAAAACCACCAGGTGCGGAGAAGGTTTTGCACAAAAATGGAGACGGAGCGTTTGGAGGTGTTGCTGCTGCCAAAGGCGCTGAGACCACGCTAGAGTATATCCGACAGATGGATGTCCAGATGGCGCAGCATCTCCGGAGCTCTGCCGTTCGAATTCGGGATTTCAATGCCATGAGACAGAAGAGATCATGGCCGGAAAGTTGACGGAGTGGGAAGAGCTTCTCAACGCAGGAACCATTACAATCTGCGCTGGCCCGAGGCAGAGGTGCTGAAAAAGCAGATCAACCCAGCTGGCCAAATCCAGGTTTGCGAGACCAGGAGGCTGCAGTTGAGGTGGCCAGGCAAGACGGAGATGAAGCGCCGATGGTGTATGAAAAGGGTATCTGGACCCAAATGCCGGAAACCTACCGGACGTCGACAGGCACCCAGGCTATCTAAAGATGGTTTGGCCGCGGTGTTCGGGTTCTGGAGTTCGCCGACATTGAAGAAGCCTGTCGACAAGGAAGGCCCCCCATCAGAGAAGCACGTATCTACGCTTGGACAGGAAATCAGGGCGTTTCGTCAAGTTCTTTGGCACAAGCGGTCAAACGCGCGCACGGCCCACGGACACCCCAAGCCTGTGGCACGACAACCTCACGGAGAGGCGGGTTTGGGTGTGAGGCGCTGCAACTCGATCCCCGCGTGCGTCTGCGGCTTAATGAGGATTAGCTACCAAGCATCACGTGGATGATTCTGACTTGACCCTAGCAGGAAACGATAAATTCCATGACGTAAGGAGGATAAGTCCATCGTGTGTGACCAAAAGGAATAGGTAAACCGTGTAAAGATCAGCATCCGCAAGCAGCTTCGCAAGCAGAAAGCACAGCCACCGACAGCCGCGGAACTCTGTGAATTCTGTGTGGTTGCACTGCTCATGGCCAAGCCTACCACAACAAGCAGCAAGTGACGCAGTATACTCGTTTTTTTGGGGTTGCTCTTAATGTAGCATTCTAGGGGGCTTGAAGGCTGGGAGGCTTCAAGCTCTCAGGCCTATCCGTTCCGCCCCCTGGCGTAGGGCTTGTCAGGTGAGAGAATGGTAAGGGAGGGCGGGTCAAAAATTTCCGTTACATAGAAAGCGATTTACTCAAAGGCTTGTAGTGGGCTAACATCTTGGCCTAGGAGCAGTAGTGGCAGCGGGCATATCACGAGATTCACAACACACCACAAAACTGAGCGGTTGCACTGCTCCTGGCCAAGCCTACCACAACAAGCAGCGAGCGACGCCGTACTCCCTTTGTCCTTTGGGCTGCTCTTAATGTAGCATTCCAGGGGGCTGAAGGCTGGGAGGCTTCAAGCTCTCAGGCCTAGCCGTTCCGCCCCCTGGCATAGGGCTTGTCAGGTGAGAGAATGGTAAGGGAGGGCGGGTCAAAAATTTCCGTTTCGTAGAAAGCGATCTACTCAAAGGCTTGTAGTGGGCTAACATCTTGGCCTAGGAGCAGTAGTGGCAGCGGGCATATCACGAGATTCACAACACACCACAAAACACAAGAGAAAAGAAAGAGCTCTTAGCGTTCTGCGCGGTTGCATGCTCCTGGCCAAGCCTACCACAACAAGCAGCGAGCGACGCCGTACTCCCTTTGTCCCTTGGGCTGCTCTTAATGTAGCATTCCAGGGGGCTTGAAGGCTGGGGAGGCTACAAACTCTCAGGCCTCAGAACAACCCTGTCTCTGCGAGAGGCTGCCGCCTTTCCCCGAAATCCCCCTCCGCTTGAGGTTGCGTCTGAGGAACCTAAAGCAGAGGCTCGGGCTTCGTAGGAATAGAGCCAGGGGGTATTTGCCTGGGCACGGTAATAACGCCTGCAGGTCAAGGCTTGCGGCGCACGTCTTCTGCAAGCAAAGGCTGCAGGCTGTACGTGGACCTCAGGCAGAGTACACAGCGCGGAGGCTGGACGTTACGTGCGCAGGAACTCTCAGCCAATGCCAACTCTCAGCGCTGATTTTTCCGCAAGCTCTGAGGAGCAACTCGGATCAGGTCGAGGCTTCTACAAAATTATCACTCCACCTTGCATTGGAGAGATGCAAAACTGCTTCAGGCTGGCAGTTGGCTGAGACTGGCGCGAAAGTGGGCTAAAGGCTTTGACTTGAATCTGTCGAGCTTGTCTCGGCTAAGCTCGTCTGCCCAGACGTTGGGCTACTGAATGAGCATGTGACCATGAGGCCACCACGCGGAGGAAAGGCAGAGGATGGGCTGTAGAGCACAGCTTAATGACGCCGGCCTCTGTGGGCGTGTTATCTGAGCCTGCGGAATGAAAGATATTTGTGCGCAGTCAGCTATGAGCCAGCGCCTTCTTGTCTGGCTGAGCAGGGCTTGGATTTGCTGCGCCAGCTTAGCCAGCTTGTCTGGCTCCAGGCTCACCGTCTCTGAGCGGAAATTGAACATCCAGCCGCACCAGATTACGGTGTCTCCGAAGGCTGCCTGCTTCCAGACAAAAAGGGAAACTTAAAGCAAACGAAGAGGACAACCAGCAGGGCCAGCTGAATGTCACCGCAGCTCCGAAGGAGGTTGGCTAAAAGGTCGTCCGCACACAGCCAGGCTTTGTGGGGCTGCAAAGCCAGCAGGTTTTGCGCTACGCGCAGCAGGAGGGCTCCGAGACGTGCCAGCAGTAGGCTGAAAAGCAGGCTCCAAAGCGGCAAACTACATACCCAAAGAGCTTACCCTTGAACTCAAAGAGTACCTTGGTCCTGTTGACAGACCTTGACTTGCTTGTGGGCTGCTTTGAAGTCCAGGCTGGCGCCATTCCACATGCTGCGCGGATCGGAGGGCTGAAAGGCTGAGCAGGCGGCTGCATTTGGTGTTGACTTGGCAAACCGTGCTGTCCAGGACCGGAACCTCCA